CGCACACGCGCGCGCGCGCACCCACCCACCCACACACACACACACACACACACACACACACACACACACACACACACACACACACACACACACACACACACACACACACACACACACACACACACACACACACACACACACACAGATAGAGCTTCCCCTATTCACGTTGTCTGTCAAGAAGGGACTCCATCTTGGCTAACCTTAGATGACAAATGGACAGTGGGTGTAATGACCATGCAGGAGGACCACAGCTACTTAAACCGCCATATCACATTTTTTCGGCCTTATTTGAGTCCAGCACTTTTTAGCGTGAGAAATCCAAGACCTCTGAAAACAAGTCATTTGTCAAGGGTTTCTGGTTTTACAGACATGGCTGAATAAATTCAAAAATGTGCTGTTCAACTCTGTCCAACCCTTATTTCTGTCCAAAACTGTAGCGGAATTCTCCAGAAATAACTTTCCATGATTTATCTCCACTTTAAGTCTACAATGTGATACTTGCCACACAATTATTGTACAAACTTGATATTCTGATGTCCTTGTACTGTGCAAAAAACAGATTCAAGCCAAACCAGGTGAATTAGGAAATACATGTCTGTATTGTTTTTTAAGCCATCTTTCACCACCTTAAGCCTCTGGTTCCCTATTTGATCAGCCTCCTGTCTGAGTTTACAAGCCGACCCTCTGTGACTCACACCTCATGCTTCGTGCACACACACACACACTTACAAACAAGCACAATCACAGTTAATGTAAGCAAACAGCCTTTGGTAGACACACCTAAACACACCATAAAGCACATATAGGCCTTTAAAGTGGCAAAGACAGACATAAACAAACACACACTCGGAAAGTGTGTCTCTCTCTGTGTTCCCAATCTGACAGCCTTTCCTGAAATACCAGTCTGAGAGGTCTAGCTTGAAAATATGTTTCACCACAACTTGGAAAACAAAGCTCTAAAGAATCTGCTTGGGTTCTTCTGTTTATGCTTTCTTAATAGCAAGCTGATTTTTCTGGATACCCAAGAAATGTAACAATACAGTCTACTAAGGACTAGAGTTGAACCCCCCTCTTGTTCAAACTTAACCACAATTGTGTACAGGTCTTCCCAAAATCTCGACCACTTTGCATGGACAGCTGCCAGTGCTCAACTGGATGCTAAATGCTCAACCAGTAAAATATATATCTGGGTCATTACTACTACTGAGGTGTCCTTCAACAATGACCCCTAAGTCCCAAACATGCAAGACAAATAGGAATAGTCCGGTAAAAGTCCATTTAATTACCAGGTATTACTGCATGATGGGAAATGGTGTTGATGTCAGGCCAGCTGGAGTGTAATTAAAGGATCTAGTCATCAGTGAGAGTAAAAAAAACTCTTCAAATGTTTGTGTGTGTTTTCTTGAGTGGGCAGGGCTATAAAAGTATTACTCAAGCTTCGCACATCTTGCTTCAATTAAAGCTGCGGTCACTTTGCGCAACCCAATGGAACTCTGGGTAAACAGGAGCTTTGTAGATGGTATAGTTCGCACTGACTGACACACACACACATATATGCACACACACACTCACACAAACACACACTCACACAGTGCGGTTCTGGTGGTTCACTAGCTCATCAAACACTCACATATCTTATTCCTGCTTCATGTGTGGTCCCCCCGACTGTCAAAACTGGCTTTAATAAAACATATTTCTTGGAAACAATCACATAAACTTCTCGTCTTATGAAACCAATCCTCTGTTATTAGCTGCGTTCAGCTTGGTCACCTAATAATACCCGATCAGTTCTGATAATACTGCTTTTGTACTAACCATAACCCCTCAGTGTTGGAGCCACAATCCGTTTCCCGGAGATGTTTCTCCTTGGCAGTGTCTAAAGGTTTCTGTGAGAACAATACAAGCTCAACAATGGGTCTGTAAAACTTTCCATTTAAACCAACATGAAATTCACTTTGTTGTTTTTGGTCAGTCGTCCCACCCTCTCTGCGGACAGAGAGCGCTGCTATGAAGTCAATTAAATCCCGAATGGGTATGATCCTGTGGCAAGACAGTGGTGAGTGCCTGCATCAACAAGAACAACGTTGCTTAAATAATGGGGTGGAAGAAATACCCAGGATATATGTAGCTCCTTAGGGTCTTTGTGTCCCCCAAAAAGAGTTTGTTTGACTTCTAGGGGATAAACACACAGTTGTATAACAGCCCATTGGCGCCATGAGTAAAAAGGAGGGAGGTTCCATAAAAAAGGAACAAACTAAAACATTTGGTGATGATCATAAGTGAAAATAATGACTGATGACTTAATCTCTATTATGAAACTGACTTTCAAAGTCAAGCTTCTTCAATAATAAAGTCAGACTATCTTTTGAATGTAGAAAAGAAAGTACACCAATAATGTGACTTTTTGACTACAATACAATATTAAGTTCAAGCGTGCTTTATTAAAATAGCAATAGATAGCAAGACTAGTATTATTTAAGGTTAAAGAGTGATCATTATTTTATTATACATTATAGATAATTATCTCATAGTGTTTCAACTTTAGTATTTTTATTTTAGTAGTTCCTATTAGTTTTTCAGTTTCCATCAGAAAAGGGTTTCTGTCGAGTCCTTTCTGATGCAGGAGGAGACTAACCCTCTTAGCTTTCACACTCACACCCACCTGAGGTAGGAGTTGGGTCAGCCAGTTGACTGTGGAGGCTCTCAGGTGAGCACTCCAGCTCCGACCCCCCCGAGGAGAGCTTGTTTCCCCTGCTGACCCCCCACTGCTCCGGGCTGGAGGTCTCAGGGTCCAGGTAGAGATCTCCAACAGAGGAGGAAGTCAGCAATGGGCTGACCGAAGTGTCTGTTAAACTGGAGTCTGTACTTTTCAGTCTGTATAAGTCCTCCTGTTTGACCAGCAATCTGTCAGTGAGGTGAGGTTTAAACTCTGGCCTCACCTGAGCCTGAGACAACGGCAGGCAGAGCTCAAGTGTGGAGGAAGGGACATCGGAGGAGGTGCGGAGGGGTGGAGGAGAAAGAGAGACAAGAGGTGCAACACCAGGGGACAAAGCCATCTTTTCTTGATTTGAATCCCCACTTTTCTCCTCTCTCCCGCTCTCCCAGTCTCCGTCCAGCCCTCCACAGGAGCAGGTTCCTGGGGTCCCGGGGTTCACCGCCTGACTGCAGTCCTCGTTCTCCCCGACTTCCAGTGGCTCGCTGACGGGAATGACACACACACACAAGCCTGCCAGGAGAGGAGACGCAACCACGATCCCCTCATCTTCTGACACCTCCTCGGGCTCTCCAGACCCTTTGCTCTGATCCTCCATCACCGTCTTCTCCTTGGACCCTTTTTCCTCCGTCATTTCCCCCGTGAAGGGCAGGGAAACCTTGACCTCGGGGACAGAGGTGGGGAAGGTGCACTGGAGGTCATTGGCGGGGCTGTGGGGCGCTTGGCAGACGAGTTTAGTCATCTCACATGGAGTAGATTTGTGGCCTACTCCTGCTACACTGTGGTAAAGAGGGGCCAAGGTCTCCTAGAACAACAGAAACAAACAAAGGTAAACAACTGCTTTTCTGTGCATGAACAGTGAAACATATGGGATTCTCCAAACCCTACACCGTTAAGGAATAGACACAATATATGTATTTGATCCAAATTGTCTCATTCGATCATATATTTCATTCATAATCTAATAAGTAGGTGGGATGACTTTCAAAAACTTTCCATTTCCATCGTCTTTTAAACTGAAATCCAACTTTACCTGTTGAATCCTAGTCCTCTTCAGATTCTGGACACATGATCGCAGGTTTACTAAAAAGAAAAAGAAACAGAATAATGTAAATTGAAATAGAACTGAAACAAATAAAACATGTTCAGAGAAGAACTGTATAACGAATGGCTGTGACGTACCTGAGAGTAACTTCAGTTTGTCCTTGTAGCAGAAGAGCAGCAGGACGAGGAGACACAGCACCGTGATGACTGACAGAACAGAAACGATAACCCAGGAGGGGGCTGCACCGGAAAAAAGAGGAGGGCAGAGCTTGTCTTTATACTATACATTTACTGTCAATCATAGAGAAGACCTGAGAAAAAAAATCTATTTTCTAAGTCTGCTATGAAACAGCTTTCCTACAGTTATGAACTTGACAGTAGTGTTACTTAACCCGCTACCAAACAGTATAATGTACCTTATATTAAGTGTTAATGGAGAGATTAAAACTCACCTGAAAGAAAATATAACTGCTTTTAATTTTAGAATATGGGGTAGTGGTGCAGTTCAGCCTCTTGTGGCCAAAATAAGTATTACAACGAGAATCACAAAAAATGAAGGAGCTTAGAAATAGTTCATAATTTGCCCCTCTGGCTTCAGTAAGTAAATTAAACAAAACAAATACAATAAACAAGACATTTGTTCTGCCTTTAATTGTCTCTGCATGTTGACAGTCAGCAGTGAATGTGTCCATGTCTTACCAGAGACAGGGTGTCCACACACTGCATCTGCCTGGGCGCTGCCGGGCTGCATCTCACTCCTGCCCTCCGCATTACAACTGGAAGAGAAATCACAAAAAGAGAGTTACAACTTGACATACACTTGTTCTATTCTATTCCCTCTACATTTTACACGCCAACCTGCCAGCCTTTACGGTTGTATCTGCAATGACGTAGGAGAGAAAGAGAAACAGATGGAGAGAATAACAAAATCTTCTCTCTATCCTTCGTCATCATCATCATTAAGAATCCGGCTGGCACTGGAGGCTGGTGGTTGGTCAGGGGTTTCAGGGGAAGTGGTGTGAGTGTTACTCATAACAGCTGGTTGCTGGTGAGACGGAAAACAGCCACCTAATTGCCTTCTCCCTTCAAAACCCTAAAGTATTTGAGACTAAAAAGTGCCCGGCACCTCAAGGAAGTCCTTCAAGACTGTTGGAAAGCTGTCATCAAGCAACATTTGGGGCTGATTTGAAGAATCTAAAATATATCATATTCTGAATTTTTTTACCACCTTTTTTGTTTACTACATAATTCCATATGTGTTCTTTTATAGATTTGATGTATTCAGTATCGATCTACAATGTAGAAAATATTTCAAATAACTAAAAACCTTTGAATGAGAAGGTTTGTCCAAACTTTTGACTGGTACTGTATACACTTACCTAGTCCATTGTTTGCATTGTTCGGCACTGTTCTCAGCAGAGAAGAAGCCTTTCTGACACGGAACACACGTCTTCATTTCATCAGAAGACTCTGGAGATAATGACAGACGTTTCAGTAAATGGCTAAGTGACATTGCTGTAATTGTTTGAGGTGTGTGTTGTGTCCGTGTGTCTCACCGGGGTCCACCTCCAGTCCATACCCAGCGCCACAGGTGGGTATCTTCTCACAGAACTCGCAGTTGATGGGACTGCACTGGAGGCCGGAGCGGCAGCTGCACGGCTCTTCCGCCATCGAGTTCTCAAGCCGCTTCTTGAAACCCTTATCTGGTGTTCAAAAGAAGAGCGTGTTTTAGTACAAAGATATGTCTAAATCTCTACTAATGAAATAAATCTTAACTTTTGTTGAGACCTAATGAAAGGTGTTGCAATAGCATCTTAGTAATGATGCATTGTTGCACTGGTCACATAGTATTTATATTACAGTTTGCACAATCATCATCAGTTTGGTATATACAGTACAGTGATCCATCTTTTTAGATTATTCCAGTAGACACAAAACTCCCTCCCAAAAGACAACAGAAGCCCCCGGACAAAAAACAATTAAATAAAAAAGAATATGTTTGACAAAAATAATCAAATCTCAAATCTTTGAGACTGCAGGTACTGACGCTCGTCGCAGATCTTCTGCTGGAGACAGTGGTTCTCATCGGTCCATCCGGGCTGGTATTCACCGCTGTTACATTTTCTACACATAGTGCCCTCGGATTCTGTGCAGTCGGAATACACATGGAAGCCTAAAAAAGAAGTGAGCAAGAGAGAGACAGAGGGAGTAAGAAAACGGATGGAGTTAACAAACCGTACATAACCACTATGGAAGGAGGAAACCTAGTCCTTTTCCTTTTCTTAAATAACTTGGTATATTTCTAGTGGGTCAAATGTCAACATAAATTGAGAGTGCGTGTGTGTGTGTCAAAACATGTGCACGTCTGAGATATTTTAAGCCAATATGTTCCGTTTTTAAACATCCTTCCTCTTTTGATCCAGGACCTTTGTGAATGGAAATCTATTTGTATCTCATGCTTCTTCCATTGAGTAAACAATATGTGCAATGTACTACCCTTTCTTCCTCACTTCTATAATAATAATAATAATATATGACATTTATATAGTGCTTTTCCTGGTGCTCAAAGCGCTGACCCATGCGTGTGTGTGTGTGTGTGTGTGTGTGTGTGTGTGTGTGTGTGTGTGTGTGTGTGTGTGTGTGTGTGTGTGTGTGTGTGTGTGTGTGTGTCGTACTACGTTAC